TTCCTCAAAGATCTAGAACTAGAAGTACCATATCTAGATCTAGAACTAGAACTAGATCTAGAACTAGAAGTACCCAGCCATCCCATTACTGGGTATATACCCAAAGGATTATAAATCATGCTGCTATAAAGACACATGCACACGTATGTTTATTGCGGCACTATTCACAATAGCAAAGACTTGGAATCAACCCAAATGTCCATCAGTGACAGACTGGATTAAGAAAATGTGGCACATATACACCATGGAATACTCTGCAGCCATAAAAAAGGATGAGTATGTGTCCTCTGTAGGGACATGGATGCAGCTGGAAACCATCATTCTTAGCAAACTATCACAAGAACAGAAAACCAAACACCGCATGTTCTCACTCATAGGTGGGAACTGAACAATGAGATCACTTGGACTCGGGAAGGGGAACATCACACACCGGGGCCTATCATGGGGAGTGGGGAGGGTGGAGGGATTGCATTGGGAGTTATACCTGATGTAAATGACGAGTTGATGGGTGCTGACGAGTTGAAGGGTGGAGCACACCAACATGGCACAAGTATACATATGTAACAAGCCTGCACATTATGCACATGTACCCTAGAACTTAAAGTATAATAATAATAATAAATAAAAATAAAAAATAAAAAATAAAAAATAAATTCTATTCAATAAAAGATCCTTATGAAAGGAATCACTGTTTCCTGAAAGGATATTGTCAAATGTAGATTAATTATAGTGTCCTCTCTGCATCAATCCATGGGGGAATGTCTCTGATTTTAGTTTGTCACCCTGAGTCATTTGTGAGTTGCAAAAGTATAGTCTTGAAGGGTAGGTTAAAGCCTGATTAAGGAGAGGTTTTACTACTAAGAAATTAGAGGCCGGGTGGGGTGGCTCACGCCTGTAATCCCAGCACTTTGGGAGGTCAAGGCAGGTGGATCACATGAGGTCAGGAGTTTGAGATCAGCCTGACCAACATGGTGAAACCCCTATCTCTACTAAAAATATAAAAAAAAATAGCCAGGCGTGGTGGTGTGTATTGCAGGATCTGGCCAGCAGCCCGCAATGCAACGGAGCTCTCTCTTTGTTCCCAGGCAGATCAGCAGGCCGAGAAATAACAGACAAACACAAGATAGTGAAAGCTGGGTCCAGTGGGGGTCACTGCCTTCTGGTCCCACGGTGGTGCCAATGCACTGAATATACCAGCATTTATTATTAAATTTAGTGAGGGCGGGGGTAGGTTAGTGAGGGATTTAGGGTCATTTGATTATGAGGTGAGATGGTCACATGGGGATGAAGTAATTCTTTAACATAACATCTGTATGCAATTTACAGTATATGGAGATAAGAATTTACAAAATAATGTGTGCATCAGTAATTTCTAACAGAGCCTTAAAACAGAAACGCAGTCTTTCCATAATCTGTGATTAGCAAGATATTAATCAGCAGTAACAGTTGCAGCAAAAGCTGGTTACAAACAATCCATAGAAACATGATGTGAAGCTAGACAACTGGTTAGACCAGAAATCCTCAGAAGGGAGTATGCTTTAACCCTAAAGAGGCCTAGAAGAGCCGTGGCAAGATGAGGGTGTTTATAGCCCTATCTTATCCATATGGACAGGGGCCCCTCAAGCATCCATTTATAGGCTCTCCACAAGGGTCACATTCCATTCCCAGAGCTATGAACATCTGCTTTTCTGGAATAGGAATCTTGGTGATGTGAAACCTCCCTGACTGCACGTCCATTCATAGGCTCTCTACAGGGAGGGAAGGCCAACATCACCACCTGCTGGTTGGGCTCAATTCCTGGGCCAGGATCTCCGACCTTAGCCATTGTCCTTTATACACCAATACCTAGGCCATTGCAAATTTTGGTTAGCATTTTACAATAATCAGGAGCATTTCATATTTTATTCCGTAGCAGTAGTTTCATGGTGTCTCCCTACAGGTGTGTGCTTGTAATCCCAGCTACTCAGGAGGCTGAGACAGGAGAATCACTTGAACCTGGGAGGTGGAGGTTGCAGTGAGCCAAGATCATGGCACTGCACTCTAGCCTGGGCAACAGAGCAAGACTGTGTCAAAAAAAATAATAATAATAAATAAATAATAAATAATAAGCTAGAGTAATGGACTTCAGAGATGGCATAAGTGAAAAAACAAGTGTATGTTAGAGGAAAGAGTGTAAGGAGGACAATTTTCTGGGCAAACTGCATCATGAAACTAATCATATTTGTTTCACTTTAGGTTAGAAAGTTTAGTGTCAAAAGTGACCTCTCACCTGCTGCAAGTACAGTTGATTCTCATTGTGGTAGTTGTTTTCAATAAAATGATACCAGACACTGACTTAGTCAATACTGAAACATTGTTCCAAGTAGAAATACAGCTAGGTTCCTGTCAGCCTCTGGTTACGGTATTTTCATCAGCAGATCAGTAGTAACCTTGTTTTATATGTGTTTTTGTTGAAAGACACATTAATATACATTGTTGATTCAAAAGCATTGTAACTCATGTCCAAACGAAACTTACCCAACACATGTATTTCCTCCATTATTCACATCACAGCCTTTTTGCACTTAGAAACACCAATACAGCCAAAACATGCTATGCTTTTGGTCCATTTTTAAACAGCAAAATCAACACAAAGTACAAAAACTTGAAAAACTTAGCACTAAACAGACCATGAAAAGGGCACTTGTTTACAGTATGAGAACAAACAAGAAGACAGAGCACCCTGTTCAGCCTTAGCTGGAAACATGTGAGTTAGGAAACCCAGTTCTTTTTGTTGCTCTATGCATGACTGCAAATGACTGTAAAAGTGCCACAAGTATTGAGTTGGGAATTACAAATAAATGCTAGTGAGCAGGTAAATTTTCAAATATGAAATTCGTGATTAAGGATGATCAATTATATACATAGGATTATGTCCCATGCTCCATACTTTGCATATTAACCTCACTTTTGACTCCATATTACTTTGTCCCTCTATTTCTCCTTTGCCGAATTTTAATTTAATTATTTTTCTTGATATATTTTACATATCTTCCTTCTTCTCTCTCTCACTGTCTCTCTCTCTCTCTTTCTTTCTTCCTTCTTTTTACAGAGTTTTGCTCTTGTTGCCCAGGCTGTAGTGCAGTGGTGCGATCTTGGCTCACCACAACCTAGCAACCTCCACCTCCCAGGTTCAAATGATTATCCTGCCTCAGCCTCCCTAGTAGCTGGGATTACAGGCAAGTGCCACCATGCCCAGCTAATTTTGTATTTTTAGTAGAGACAGGGTTTCTCCATATTGGTCAGACTGGTCTCGAACTCCTGGCCTCAAGTGATCTGCCCGCTTTCGCCTCCCAAAGTGCTGGGATTACAGGCATGAGCCACTCACTGCGCCCGTCCTACATATTTTCATAAATGGCTTTAGATCCTTCAGGGAACAAATCAGGTAATAAAGGAGCAAATTATCAACAAATATTCTAATTCCTACTCTTTTCATTAGCTACTTTGATAAGTATTCAGGCATAAAAAGATCTCTAGACATCAAACCTAATTAAGAGGTTCATGTTCCACTGCTCTTTGAAATAATTTTGTTTCATTTTCTATCAGGATATATTGAATTAGAACAAATAAATGTATTTCAAATAAGTATCTACTACAAAGTTAAAAAATGTATTTAGAGATGACGCAAATGAATGAAAAGTTAAGCAGATGAAAAAGTGAAGAGATGATGGCTGTACTTCTTTCTTTGCCATACTGAAGTATGGAAACTAGATCTTTTCAAAGTTTCTAATATTGGTCCAGACTGGGATTCGAAAGCCTCTTGATGTTCGGGTGCTACCCTGGCCCCTGCAATCTCTTCTGACTCCTGCAGAGAGCACAGACACCTTAAGTGTAACCACTCAGTGAACTAGAGCCCACAGGGATTGATCATATGCTTTCCAGAAGTTCAGGCTCACATAAACTTCATGATAGAATTTTACAGCAGTTTTTAGGTAGATTACAATTGAATATTCAGGGTACCTTGTAATCACAGGGTTATGCCACATAGGGAAATTGAGTAGAATTTTCTCTACCTGGAAAACATGTTGTAAAGGAATGATCCCAGCTCTCCACCACAACCCCAGAGGCACCACGTTCTCCTGTCTAGCTGAGTTCTCTTTGCCATCCTAGTGCCTGTCTGCCACATGTACGTTGATAAGCTCTGCTACATTGAACATAGGAAATATTTTTTTTCTTTAATTCAGTCCATCCCTGATTGGAATGATGCCAGAAAAAGTTTTCTTGGGAACAAAACAGGGGAGGTGAAGCCCCCAAATCTAAAAAAATATATAATTGCATGAGAACAGATGACTTTGCATACATATTTAGGCCCTTCTTCTTTCTTTAATTTTATCAGGCTAAAATGAGTCTCAGCCTTTGATCACTTCTGATTCTTCATCTTCAATCTAGGTTATTTCTCTCCAGTTGTTCCTCATAACCACCCGACCCACTCAAGTCTTTCTCTAGTCTTTGCCCCACATTGTGAAAAAGATGTTTTCCAACTTAGCTCGAGGCTCTTACCCTGAGCTTCATAGTTTCCATTCAACAACTATTTAGAATGTCCCTACTGTGTGCTAGTCCCTTTGGCAGGTGCTGTGGATACAGTGGAGCACAAAGAAGGCATCGGTCCTACCTTTATACAGCTTATAGGTTACTCGGGATGGATTTAGACCAAATAAAACACAAATAAATATAAAATTACAACTGTTATACATGCTCTGAAGACAGAGTTTAGAGTACAATCAATGTATATAATAGATTTAACCCAGGATAGATACTCACATCTGTTCGGGATTAGGTCATTAACACTTCCCATGTATTCTCCAGTTTACCCGTCCCAGTGCCTCCCCATCTTCCTTTTTCCCTCTTTAGAGGGAGCAATGGCAGTCAGAATTATACCCAATGAAAATAGAATTACAAGAATACTCCTAAATAGATCCAAATATTAACAGACAAAAATTAAATGCCTACCTTCAAGTTTCTAATTAGGTGTGGAGTTGTAAGAACTCTGGAAAAGATGCTGGTGCTAAACTGTTCTACCAAATTACTGATACTGGAGAAAATGTTGAAGAGTTGCTTTCCTGAATCACTCAAGGTACCATAAAATTACTAATTTTATTTTATTTCTTTGTTGTGTTAATCTGTAAAATAATGTCAAACTTGTGGCTATTTTCCTTTTTTTCTGATAACAAGACTCTCTAGGAGCACTTGTTAAACCTACAGCTTCTAGCTCCCTCCTGCTAGAGACAGATTGAATAGACTGTGGATAAGGCCCAGGGAATTCCACTTTTCTTTTTTTTCTTTCTTTCTTTTTTTTAAACTTTAGGTTCTGGGATGCATGTGCTGAATGTGCAGGTTTGTTACATAGGTATGCATGTGCCATGGTGGTTTGCTGCACCCATCAACCCATCATCTAGGTTTTAAGCCCCACATGCATTAGGTGTTTGTCCTGATGCTCTCCCTCCCCTTTCCTCTCACCCCCTAGAAACTACACTTTTCATAGTCACTTGGATGACTCCTAAGGAAATTTAGGTATAATTTCTAGATTATTTCTAAATAAATTTGAGTTCTAAAGTATTTTAAATAGCAGAAGGGTATAGACTAAGTGGCATTGCAGTTAAGAACATAATCTAGTTAAAATAATAGAACTGAGGTTTAGATGTTGTTATAAATGCAGTGAAATTGCCTTTAAGAGCTGAATTTCTTGAGCAAGGAGACTGCCCTATGCCTGGTTTTCAAATGGGAGTGGCATGCAAATCACCCAGGAGAGACATAACAAATAAGAATTTGTGAAGACAGAGACTTGCATTTTTACCAAAGACCCTGTATAATCCTCATGTACATTAAAATTTGAACAAAAGTGATCTAGAAGGAGTCCTCTAATGCACTATACTGTGTGAATTAAATCTGGCCATCTTGCCTTATTGATCATGCTTAAACTGTATGTGGTAACGAAAATGTGAATAATAATTTGGAATCATTTGGCTAAAAAATAAAAGGTACCAAATGGACAATCTGACCCAAATCTTCCCAAGATCAATGCTGACACTGAAGTGAATTAATAGAATGAAATGGTAGGCTACTTTGCTTTAATAACATGTCCAAATAATTATTTTGCCAGAGATAATGAAAACAACTTCAGTGACCTTTACAGGGTAATAAAAGATTAAAAAATTAAAGAAAATACAGTTTTGTTTATTTACACTTCCTCCATTTTCTGGAGGTTGTGGCTATGGATTTTGTAACCTCAGCTTAGTGTTTAAGTGATTAAATATCCTTCCAAAGTTCCTTCATAAGCTCTCATCTCATTCCCCCAGTGCATTGACATCCTTCTAGCCACACCCCCTCAACTCAACATTCACCCTTTTAATAAATAGCTGTTGGAAGAGTTTGTAGTTAACCAGAATCAAATGTTTCAGTTGGCTCCAAATCCTATATAAATAAGTTACGTTTTTTTTTTTCGAATCTGAATATTGAAAGGGTTTTCCCTTTTAACATGCTGAGCATTCCAACCATATTTAGGTTACATTCTTGAGTAAGAATGTACAGTTTCTTCATGTGAAACTATATCAATAAACATTACTCTGTATATGCAAGATGAGCAGCCACAGAATTTAAAGATTAACAGAACAAGCCTGACCCTTCCAGGTTACTTTAGATCTCGAATTTTCACTAAGGGTGATCCATGTTACACAATAATATAAGCCGAACCCAATTTGGAAAGACTCCCTCTATGAGGATATGTGAATGACGTCCAGAATGGGTAATATGGAAGAAAGTTGTACAATTCTAGGCATTGAAGAAAATGAGTGATTTAGATTAAAATAGTGATAAACTCAGGTGCGGTAGCAAGCTTGTAGTCCCAGCTATTCGGGAAGCAGAGACAGTAGGTTCATTTGAGCCCAGGAGTTCAAGGCCAGCAAGGTCCCATTTCTTTAAAAAAGTTTTTTTTTTTTTTTTTTAATTAAACAAAAAAGTGATAAGGGAGGTAAATGTAGGTTCCAATGTCCTTATAAACAAAACCAAGCAACACAAAGTCCATTGAAATCTAACACATGCTAGTTACAAAGTGCACATAATTTAATTATGTAGCTCAATGAATTTTCATAAAGCAAATGCCTACATAACATCCACTACTACAGAGAAAGAAAATTACTTTTTACATCACTCCTTCCCACCGGCAATGCCCCTTTCCAACCACTACCTCTCCCTGCTCCCTAAAAGTGACCACTATCCTGACTTCCAAAGCCATAATTTAGTTTTGCCTGTTTTGAATGTAACAGAAATTGGATCACACAGTAAGTATCTTTTTCGTATCTAACTTCTTTTGCTCAACATTATGTTTGTGAGATTAATTTCATTGCTGTTTTGTAATCTATAGTACCAATGTGCCACAATGTATTTATTCATTTCACTATTGATGAACATGAATGGTGGTAAAAAGGATTCCCATAGTTCAGCAGTCCTTGTTACCACCACCACTTTATCCAACCTCTACAAGCATACATGTGACACATGAAAGCTGTTTTGTAGGACAGTCATCTTTCTTAGTACAGAAAAATATGTGGCTGCGTATGGTGGCTCATGCCTGTAATTTCAATACTTTGGAAGGCCAAGGTGGGAGGATCACTTGAACCCAGGAGTTTGAGACCAGCCTGGGCAACATGAGACCCCATCTCTCCAAAAAAATTTTTTTTTAATTATCCAGGTGTGGTGGTGCTTGCCTTAGTCCCAGCTACTCAGGAGGCTGGGGTGGGAGAATCGTTTGAACCCAGGAGGCGGAGGTTGCAGTGAGCAGAGATCGCGCCACTGCACTCCAGCCTGGGTGACAGAGCGAGACTGAGGAGTTCAAGGCTGCAGTGATCTGTGATTGCCCCATAATACTCCAGCCTGGATGACAGAGTGAGACACTGTCACAAAATAATAATAATAATAAAAGAAGGGTAAACTTTAAAGAAAGAGAAGAAAAAATGTGAAAGGCCACAGAAAGAATTCTAATATTGTTCTACTTTGGTTGAGTCACCAAGCATTCAATCATCTATGTCAGGCTCCATGGACATAATAATGAATTGAGACATCATTTAGAGCCTGGCTCCATCAAATCTAAAGTGCAGTTTTGTTTGTTTGTTTGTTTTAATTTGAGCTGGTGTCACCCTCTAATGATGTCTAATTGTAATTTAGGGTTGAAGAAGGAGTTGCATTTCACAGGTTATTTTCAAATACTATAGTGGGCTTGAAAAGCAGCTGAGCATCAAAATTATTTGCGGAAATTTTTAAATATGCATGGACCCTAAGTGCATATGTTATCCTGATTCATTCAGCAAGTATTTACTGCTGACCTATGTGCCAAGTACCCACCTAGTAAGCCTATGAATTTGGTACCTCTCACTGCTATCCTTTAAAAAACTAGGTTTGGAAAGAGTTTTTATAGGATTTCATAGACCTTTTACCAGTTTTCATGTGCACTGATAAAATAGCAACAGAAAAATTAATGTGTGTCTATCATGTGTCTGAATGTATGCATATATGTTTATAATTTCCCCTCTCATGGACATGAGTACACAGTAGAACAAGAGGTAAAGAAGATAATATGTGACTGAAACAGCTAATAGTATGATTGGCTTGTCTCTCTGGGTTATCTGACTCAGGTTTATGGAGCGGTGATGAACATAAATCGTGGGAACCCCTTTCAAAATGAAGTGGTGTTGGATTCATGGCCGGATTTCAAAGCTGTTATCACCCGACGACAAAGAGAGGTATAGTTTTGAAAGGTAAAAAATTTAAAAATAGTAAGAATTGGAGAGAAAAAATAGGTAATGGTATTTTATAACCACAGTAGCCATATACGTTAGCTTACAACACTACCTGTTTCACCATTCATTTCTTTTCTTTCTTTCCCTTCCTTCCTTCCCTCCCTCCCTCCTTTCTTTCTTTCTCTTTCTTTCCCTTTCTTTTGCCAACTTTCTTTTCTTTTCTTTCTCAGAGTCTCATTCTGTCACCCAGACTGGAGTGCAGTGGTGTGATCTCAGCTCACTGCAATCTCCACTTCCCAGGTTCAACCGATTCTCCTGCCTCTGCCTCCTGAGTAGTTGGGCTTATAGGCACCCACTACCATGCCTGGCTAATTTTTGTATTTTTAGTAGACACTTTAGTCGAGATGGGATTTCACCATGTTGGCCAGGCTGATGTCGAACTCCTGACCTCAGGTGATCGGTCTGCCTCCGGCTCCCAAAGTGCTGGGATTACAGGCATGAACTGCCACTATGCCCAGCCTCAGCATTAAATTCTAATTTGACTGGCTTCAGAGTATCAGGAACTTGAAAAACCTCTAGTCCAAACATGTTCAATAAAGTGGTTCCTTAGTGTTTCATGATCTCTAGAAGGATGAAGCACAAATGGTTGACTTATAGATACTAGCTTTTTCCCTGGGTGAATGGTTGCTTATGACTGGTGACTTTGGTCATGTGGGTATTTGGAAGAAGAGTGAAGACAACCTCTGCCCCATTCTGCTCCTGAGACCAAGGAGAAGCTCATATGGCCAAAGAGGTACCGTCCTGACCACATTAGGAAGATTCTGAGAGTTGTAATTCTTGGAGGTAAATCCAAGAATTACATATAAAATTAAATATAAAAGAGTTAAATATTTATATATGTATATATATATTTATATATGTAATATATATATGTAATGTCTTCTGTCCTAGGCTGAGACAGATAACCTTGATTATTATACTAATGCCTATGCTGTGTTCTACAAGGATGTCAGGGCTTATCGACAGCTATTGGAAGAATGTGATGTTGTTAACTGGAACCAAGTTTTTCAAATACAAGGTGAGGTCAAGTGCAAGACTTATATTATGCAGTCATTTTTTTCCTCCTTAGCATATATCCAGATAGATATAGATATTTCATATATATGAAAATATGTAGATTATATATATACACATATATGTATAAATACATACACATCCATTTTATGCATTTACCATTTCTATATTATAGTGTTGTAAGAACACTTATTTGTCACTTCTAATGAGGCATGCATGGCCTTCGGGTTAAAAAGAGACCATTTAAATGGAGCTGTTCTTAGGTGACATATATTTTCTACTATTATTGTAATATGGATGGATATCAGTGAGAATCAGAATATTTTTCCTTATTGGTTTTAATAATTTTCTATCACACCTTTTAAAATAACTATAATTTAGGTCTTAGCCAATAGGTAGGCCTTTTATTTTTTCTGAAGCAGATGATTCTGGAAAGAAATAATCAATTGATCTGCATACAATGCCCTCAAATGACTTTGTTTTTTTTTTTCTGAGTCAAGGTCTTGCTCTGCAACCCAGGCTGGATGCAGTGGTATGAGCATAGCTCACTGCAGCCTTGAACTCCTGGGCTCAAGGATCCTGTCTCCTCAGCTTCCTGAGTAGCTGGGACTACAGGTGGCACCACCACACAGGGCCCTTTTTTGTTTGTTTTTGTTGAGACAGCGTCTCATCCTATTGACTAAGCTGCTAAAGTGATTTTAGACAGAAAGAGTTTATATGAGCTGTGAGGAGATAACGGCATGACCATCAGGGCTTGGGGCAGAACTTCATGCCAGGAGAGAAGATTAAGGGTTTCTGATAGTTTAGATGAATAGTTTCCGCTTCAGTGTACACTTACTCATCCAACTTTTCATAATGATTAGGTGTTAGAACAGGCAATAAAGTTGTTGTTTATGATTGTTCCAGTGAAATGAGTGCCTTGATCATTTAACAGGAAAGTAGGGAACCTCATATTAGAAATACAAAGTCTAGTAATTTTTTTTCACCTATAGAAAGCTGAGGCCCTCCAATAAGGAAAAGCTTCTATCCACCCGGAAAATTTACAAATAAAGACTAACACATGATCATAACCCAAAGACATCAGATGTCGTACAAAATGTATTCATAAATGTACAAAAAGACCTTATGCAGGAAACTCTAAACTATCTCTCACCTTTACAGATTTGCCCCAGTTGCGCTGGTTAGATGTGAGACATGATTCTATCACTTCCATAGCCAATTTAGAAAAAAATGTTCTGACCAGTATTACTTTAACATAGAAATGAATAAATGTCCTCATTGGTGTGAAAAATCATGGTAGTAATTGGATGGATCTTGGTGCTACAGGCCTATTATCACTAAATCACCTCAATCCATCATTATATAGAAAAAAGGTATATAATTTCCAATATCCTTTTCAGAAGGCTGAGCTGATAGTTGTGAGTAACTTATAGTCATCTAAATTGACTCAATCATTCTTTCTGAAGGTTTGATGGGGACAAATGTGAATTAGTATCACCTAATATAGCCGGAGTAGTAAAGGTCCCTCATTTAGCACGTAAGTCAGCCTGGACATTACCGTTGGCTTCTCCTGTGGTCTTTTGACTACAGACTTCTGTGGTAATAGCTGTAATTTTCTTGGAATACTGAATACTTTCCAAGAAGTCATTGGTATGTTTACTATTCTTAATTGCAGTACCCAAAAAGGTCATAAATCCTCTCTGTTTCCATAACACAATTCCAAAAGCCTACCTACTGGCCATATACATGATCAACATTTGCCACAGTGCAGGCCCCAGTCATAGATACTAGTTTGGCTACTGGGTAGATCAAGCATTAGGTGGTGGAGCTGCTTCAGGACTTGATGTCCAGAGGAATGACACATCCTGCATAGGAATGCCTTTGTCATTTTTAATCTGAGAGCCATTAATGAACAATATTAAATCACGTTTAACCCAACAAGCTACCCAGAGTAGCTAAACCCCTTTAGTTTGCCATATGAAGGCAGGAAGTGAAAAAGTATACAGCTACCCACACAGGCCAGGCTCTTCTGCTCACTACTGATTAGTAAGCTAACCTTGCACTGACGTGAAAAATTATCTACGTGTGTACTAACGTGAGAGTTTCAGAAGCCTGGTTATTGGTAAGAAGTCTAATAAATGCCCTGAATTGTGGCTTATCCACTTAGCCGCTCTTCTCATAAGAAGGTAGATAGAAAGAGGCAGAGCAAGATGTGGAAGTTCCTTTCACTTGTGGGAAAGGAGAAAATCATTTGTTAAAAGTCGTAACTTGTAAGGAAGACAAAAGGACATGATCAAGAACACTATGAAGAGGTAATCAACAAAATCCAAGATTGTGAAAACCGCACGGTAAACACCTGGGTTTTTTCAACAAATGAAATGAAAGAATCAGAGAGTGGGGGTAGGGATTGAAGGAAAACTTGTAGATTAAAAAATCTGAGACCAAAATTAAACTATAGTGTGTTTAAGAACACACACTTAAAAAGTAGGCACTGCCTCCTTTTTTCTCACAGTCTTTTGAATTACTTAGATGAAATTCAGTGTTATAATATGAGATACTAGCCACAGCATCTTTAATTTTAATAACATTAACTCAAAAGCCTACTTATGTTTTCTGAGGTTTAACTCCCTGAGGGAGGAGTCAAGGCTCAGATACAACACTGTGTTCAATACGCCTTCCCACTCAAGCATTCTTCAAGAAGTCCCAGGTCCACACTGAAGAACCTTACCAGAGGGGAGGAAATAAGCCATTAGTCATGGGAAGAGGGAAAGTCAGTTTGCAGAGAATTCAATCCATCAGGACATAGACTGGAAAGGATGGAGTAGATGGGGATTTGAAAAGGTGGAGAAAGGAATCATACTATAAGCTCTCTAAGAACAAAGACCAGGAAGGGCCAGGCATGGTGGATTATGCCTGTAATCCAAGTGCTTTGGGAGACCAAGACAGGGGGATCTCTTGAGGCCAGGAGTTTGAGACCAGCCTGGGCATATACGGAGACCCCAACTCTACAAAAACAAAACAAAACAAAAACTTAAAAAATAAATCAGCCAAGCGGTGGCATGCACTCAGGAGGCTGAGGGAGGGGGATCATTTGAGCCCAGGAGTTCATGGTTATAGTAAGCTATGATCATGCCACTGCACTCTAACCTGGACAAGAGAGCAAGACCCTGTTTCTAAATAAAGAACAGAGACCATACCACTGTGAACATTGTCTAGCATAGCACCTTATATATATGCAACACCTACTGAATCAAGATTAATCAAATAACTAGGACAAATGGAATCTGGGTGAGGTAAGTTCAGGGTAAATCTCACCAACACTGAGTTTACACCTTGCGTTCTGTAATGGAGAGGTATAACAGACTGAAAGAGAGTCTTTGAAGTTGGTTTGCCATGTCCAACAAATCTAAGCTCTTGTATACTTCATAGACCTTCATCCTTTATTTCTTGTATACTTCATAGACTTCATCCTTTATTTCGTGGAGCTTAAGGTTAGTCTGAGAGTCCAAAGAATCAATATTCTCCCAAGAAATTCTAAAGTCCCATGAGATATTCCTATCATAAGTTTCTATGAAGATCGTGATGAGTGGTCCCAATGGGCAACATCAGGGGAATTTGAAACTCCTACAAAAATTTGAAACTTAGACAATAGCTGTAATAAACTAGATGTAAATGTATACTGGTTAGGATAATACAAGTGGCAAACTGCTGGTACTGATGATTCTCAGTATAAAATTACTGCAACAAATTTACTGTCTGCTTTTTCAACTAAAATGCCCACATATTAAATTATATCTTTCTATACACAGGGTTGCAGAGTGAGTTATATGATGTTTCCAAAGCGGTTGCCAACTCAAAGCAGTTGAATGTAAAGCTAACTTCCTTCAAGGCTGTTCATCTTTCTCCTGTTTCAACTCTGCCAGATACCAGTTTCCTGTATGTAAACCAAGTTTTTGCATTTGGGGCAGGACTTACTGCTATAGAAGTACAGGTAGCAGTAACTGGAGTACTTAGTATCACTATGGAATATCTAGGCACTTTGGATTTCAACCATTGAGCATAAATGGGTGTGTGTATATTTACTTTTCTCCTCTCTCCTGCGCTTGACTGCTCATAATTTCATTGAAAATCAAATCAGTATCTTTGTCCATAGTTATAAATGAACTCAGAATTCCTGTGTTTTCATAGTATCCACGGAAAAAGTATTCCTTGGTGTCCTCGTCCCTCAAATAATTCTAAATAATTTATACCGTCTGAGTCCAAGGTTGTTATTGTTTTTGCTGTTTCAGGGATGGGGGTATATAGCTGACTTATGTTGAGCTCTTATGTGCCAGGGACTACATGTCTTAAATATGTTATCCCATTAGTTCTTTCCACAACCCTGTAAAGTAGGACTATTATTATTGCCCCTCCCGCCCCCACACACCTTTTTAAACAGAGATGAAGTAACACACAGGGGTAAATTATAGAGCCAAGAAAGAATCCCAAGTCCAACTCCAGATACAATCTTTCAAAACATTGATTAGTTTGTATCTGCATTTATTCTTCTTTTGGAGTCCCTGCTCTGTCATTTACTAATTACCTTTCTGAGTCTCAGTTTCTTCTGAATTCATTCCTTTAAGTATTTTGTTAAATTAATATCATTTTAAATCAACAAATAATAATTGTACACTTTCATGGGGTACAATGTGATGTCTTGATAAATGTATATACCATAGACTGATTAAACCAAGCCAGTTAATGTTAAAAAAAATTGTTATAATATTTTCCTGACATGTTGTTTTGCAAGAGACTGAAGCAAGATAATTAAAAATCACCCACCTCAATGAATGTTAATTTTCTGTACTCCTACAGTGAATGTTGAAGAAATTGTTGAGCAAAATAGCACTAAACCTTAAGAAGAATGTACATTTTAAGTCATAGGAAAGCAACTGGATTTTCTTTTATTGTAGTTTTAATTACGAAAATTTCAAACATACATGAAAGTTTAAAGGCTAGTATAAAGAACTTCCTACCCATACGCAGTTGACCTTATTTAATTTATACAAATATATATTCTTTCCACTTCCTAGATTATTTTGAAGAAATGTCCCAGACATTATCCTTAAAAATTTTAATATGTAACTCTAAAAAGTGAGTCTTAAAAAAAACCACCCACTATACTGATATTACTCCTGTGTCCGAGGTCCCCAAGAACACCCACAGGTTTTATGGTTCACTATGTTGACACACAGGACTCAGCAAATATACTCATGGCTATGATTGATTACAATGAAAAGATAAAATGCAAAATCAACAAAGGGAAAGAGAGCACTGGGTAAAGTCCAGAGGAAACCAGACACAAGCTTCCAAGAGTTGTCTCTCAGTGGAGTCACACAGAATGTGCTCAGTCCCTAAACAATGACCTGTAATGATATGTGTAAAACGTTTCAAATTCCTGGCCTCAAGCAATCCTCCTGTCAGGGACTCCCCAAGTGATGGGATTACAGGCCTGAGCCACCGTGCTCTGCTAAAAGTTGTCTACCAGGGAAACTTATTATTAGACACTCAGTGCCCAGGATTTTTATTGGCAGCATCCTCTGCCTAGCACAGACCGATTTCCTAGACACACAGAAGGAAAGCCAGTGTTCAGCAAAACCCACACTGTTTGCACAATTTAATCACAGTGACCCATTTATGTGAGTCCTGGAAATGGTAGCCCCCTTCCAGATCCATGTTCGTAGACACCAACCAAGGGTCAACCTTGCAATTAGGCCTTTTTAAGGGCGACGGCCTCAAGCCTTCTATGTTAGTTTTTTCTGCACATTCCCTTAAAATATTGTTAACATATTTCCTTAAAGTAAAATAACAGTATTTATATTTCTGATATTGTCACATTTTAAAGTTTGTTTCGAATCAACATCTAAACAAGGTTCATACATAGAACTCTTTAATACATCTGAAGTTTCCTTTGACTTGTAAGTTCCCCTTCATCTTTATTTTTTGCATTACTTTTCTGTTGAAGAAACCAGGTTATTTGTTCTTTGAAGTATCCCATAATCTGTTTACTATTGTATGCCTGAGGTATTATTTAAAATTTTCCTCTGTCCAGTCAAGCCTTTTGAAATGGGGTTTTAACTTGAATTGATCTCTTTTGCATACAGTTAGACATTCTGTCTTTTTTTTTTTTCCTTAACTTCCCACACGAAACTGATGCAAACAATTTGCATTTAACACCTAAGTCATTAGGCAAGTGTGTGAACCCCCAGCCCTTTGGAAACAAGGTCACAGTCTCTAACATAACTACTCCTGAAACACTTGCCTTAGCAATGTTTTTATCTGCAGTGATTATTTCTGCCTGAAGCTTCTTTGCCCTTGCTTTAAAGTTCATTTTCAAAAACTCAATTGAAAATTCCATTAAACCAGCTATTTTTTTCCTCCGCTTAGTCGATGAATGACTGGCCCAGTTCTATAGCTGATAAAATGCCTGAAATGTGCAACAACACTACACACCACTAATTAAAAGAAAACACAGATTTTTACTTTATAAAAATGATGACAAGAACATTATCAGTCTCTTAGCAGTCACTGGGGTAGTCTTATGATATTAATAGCTTTAAGACTGAGAGCAAATTCTGAGGCACTGTCAGCCTCATAGGCTTTCAACTAAGTAATCCATTTCAGTTTTTAGAAATTGCAGCAATTCTTTTTCTTTATCTTAATATGAGGGGCTTTATACAGTAAATTAATAAAAACTTTCATAACATTAGAACAGATACAGCTAGTGGCGTATACAAACACTGCCAATGGAAAAGTTGAAGGTTGGGACTATTTAACCTAGAAAAGAGCAGGCCTAGGAGACAGTTTGAAGGAACAAATATGGCCAGGCGCAGTGGCTCACGCCTGTAATCCCAGCACTTGCAAGGCGGGTGGATCATCCTGAGGTCAGGAGTTCGAGACCAGCCTGGCCAACATGGCAAAACCCTGTCTCTACTAAAAATACAAAAAGTAGCTGGGCATGTTGGCACGTGCCTGTCATCCCAGCTACTTGGGAGGCTGAAGCAGGAAAATCGCTTGAACTCAGGGGGCAGAGGTTGCAGTAAGCCACTGCACTCCAGCCTGGGCAATAATGTGAGACTCCATCTGAAAAAAAAAAAAAAGAAGAAGAACAAACATTTCTAAAGCATGCACATATGCTTGGCAAATTAAGAGATTTTATTTCTTTTTTGGCCATGGATGCATAACCACAGAAGTTCTACTCTAACATGGATGCATAACCACAGAAGTTCTATTCTAAAACTTTTTCTTTTTTTTTTTAATTGAGCAAAAGATTAGGGCTCCAAGAATCTGGACTTACCAAGGCCTCAGAGAGGACTTCAGCAGAGTCAGGACTAAATAAAAGCAATTCTGAGGGTTTTTGTTATTGTTGTTGTTTACAGAAAGTGTTAAAAGAAAAACTTTAGACAGATTAAATTTAGCAACGTTGGTCTGGGTGCAGTGGCTCACACCTGTAATAATCCCAACACTTTGGGAGGTCTAGTATGGTGGACAACTGGAGTACAGGAGTTGGAGACCAGCCTGGCCAACATGGTGAAACCTTGTCTCTACTAAAAATACAAAAATTAGCCAGGCGCGGTGGCACACCTGTAATCCCACATACTCAGGAGGTTGAGATACGAGAAGCGCTTGAACCGGGGAGGTGGAAGTTGCAGTGAGCCGAGATTGCACCACTGCACTTCAACCTGGGAGACAGAGCAATGCTTTCAAAAAAAAAAAAAAAAAAAAAGTTAGCAACGTTTATTTGAGCAAAGAACAGTTCATGAATCTGGCAGCACTCAGAATCAGAAGTTCAAAGTTACACCCACCAGTGGGAGATTTTATACGCCAGACACGGAAGCAAAGCAGGTAAATCCTCTGATTGGCAACAGTTAGGTATCTGTATATTTGGGCATGGTCTGCTCACTTACCTGCCTGTGATTGGCTTGTATAACAAACTCAGCTGTTTGTTATGCGCCTAAGGTTGGTTTTGTGTCAAGTTAGGTTGCAATTCAACACATGGGGACTCAAGGTATGGCGGGAACTGCGGGCCAAATTTAATTCATTTAACAACAGAAACACTTTCCTTAACCTGCGCTGAAGGCAAAAGCAAGTGAACATAAAATTAGAAGCAACGACTTAAATTTGGTGTAATAAGTGTTTTGTCTTCTCAGAAATGAAACCTGGAAAGGTGCTTGTAAATCGGGAACGGTGGATTCTAACTCACTGAAAATCTTAGGTGCCCTCTCAGGGATGGTTTCTCAGTTTGAACCAATATGAAAAGAGTAGTAATAGGTCGGGCATGGTGGCTCACGCCTATAATCTCAGCTCTTTGAGAGGCCGAGATGGGTGAATCACAAGATCAGGAGTTCGAGAACAGCCTGGCCAATAGTATGAAATCCCGTCTCTACTAAAAATATAAAAATTAGCCAGGATGGTGGCAGGCGCCTGTAATCCCAGCTACTTGGGTGGCTGAGGCAGGCCTCCCAAGAATTGCTTGAACCCGGGAGGCAGAGGTTGCAGTGAGCCGAGATCACGCCACGGCACTCCAACCTGGGCGACAGAGCAAGACTCTGTCTCGAAAAAGAAAAATAGTTATGTATAACCACATGACTCTGAGGTCCTATTTGTTCTTGTGTCATTCTGTTCTAGCAAGGGGCCTTTCCCACGACTAACCTACCTGACTGTTGCCGAAGCAGATCTACTCAACCGGACTTGGTCAAGGGGTGGCAATGAACAATGTCTCCGGTACATCGCCAACCTCATCGCCTGCTTCCCTAGTGTGTGTGTCCGGGATGAGAAGGGAAACCCGGTCTCCTGGTCCATCACAGACCAGTTTGCCACCATATGCCATGGGTACACCCTGCCAGAACATCGCAGGAAAGGTTACAGCCGGCTGGTGGCCCTCACGCTGGCTAGGAAGTTGCAAAGCCGGGGATTCCCCTCTCAGGGGAACGTCCTGGATGACAACACGGCATCTATAGGCCTACTGAAGAGTCTCCACGCTGAGTTCTTGCCTTGTCGCTTCCACAGGCTTATTCTCACCCCTGCGACTTTCTCTGGCCTGCCTCACCTCTAGCCCAGTGAAAAACTGCAGTGGTTTTCTTACTTTCCCTGAGCGTACACATACTCTTGGCTGCCAACGAGGGTAGAGTTAAAATGGGAATCGGGAGACTCTTGGGTTGTTGGAAAGGGTCTGGAGAATACATACAGGATCCACTTGAGAAGCCTTAATTCTTCGTATCTCAGGTTTCTCCAGTAAGTAGCTGTGGGGGTGAAGAGTAGCTGTGGCTGAAGACTGAGGACGATTGTCCTCCTTTAGGAGAATAGGTTCTAAAGCCAGCAGTTTTAGCGTACTAGGAGAAATTACTGCCTGAGAACAAATGATTCAACACACGACCATGTGGCTACTGCTTTATGATTGCTGCTTGGACCTCTGCTCTGTAGTCTTAAAGGCACACCGCTTCCCTACTGCCTTCATATTCCCCTGTCCCCACTGCTTTGTCTCAGCAACCTCTGTCCTAACAGCTCTACCGCTAAGTTCTCTGTAGAGTAACCTCCTTTTTCCCCTTTAATTACTTGCTCTTTACTTCTGCCTAGGACTCTAGCCTATAGTTCACTGCCCTGGGAATGTTCAAATGTAGTAGTTCTTACATTTTAGTGTTTGTCAGAATCGCCCAGAGGGCAGGTTGCAACACACATCACTAGGCCTCTCCTTCTATGAGGTAGGGCCCCAAATTTTGCATTTCTAACAGCTTCTCACTGCTTATTTGCCTTGGATGGATGACAATATGGGCATTTTGATGCTATAAACAAATGCTGTCAGCATAGGACTAGACCTTACCTATAATCTATTTCAGCCCTCTTATTCATAATCTACTTTCCCATATAAAACTAAGATCATATATAGGGGTGTTTGGGGGTATGCAAATGAATATATAACATATATTCATACACATATATATACATTCATATCTTCTATATGTATATGTATATACTCATAGAATTTTGATAATAAACTTTAACCCTCTGATTACATGTGAAAATTTTGAGGACCAGAGAAAAGAAATGACTTTGTCAAGATTATATTCTTTATAATCAGTACTGGAGGCAGACCCAGAATGCTGCCATTTCAATTCCAATCTGTTATTTTCACTAAATCATGTATCCTTTTTTATAATGTAAATTAAAATGCTTAAGTAATTAAAAGATTAATTTTATTTTTCTTTTATTCTTGTCATTATTTCTTCTTAATTTGAGTTCCAATTGCTTGTGTATGTATACCTTTCAAGGGCAGTAAAGAAAGAGATAAGCATCACCAGCTGTGTTCTCCATTTACAATAAAAGCAGGCACTAACACAATAGTTGGATTGGCCTTGTCTTGATAAAGTTGACTTAGCTATATAGAAAATACTGGTTTCTTATCCCCAAGGAGGTCACAAAATCCTGACTGCAAAGATAGGGAAAAATCCAACTTGTAGGCGTTTATTCTGAGAAAAAGGAAACAAATTGGCTGAAGTAAAGCACATTTTAATTTAAAAAATAGGACTCAGTAGGAGTAAATACATGCTTAGTTCATCCTGAGTCCACAGTTACCTGGAAACTTCTCTATCCTTGGATCCAGAGAGGAAAGCACCAAGTAACCAGAGGCCATAAACCTCTTAGGAGAATATGCCCTAAGGATGCCAATTATCTTTAGCATCGATTAAGCATGAGTTACTCCTGCTTGATATATGGCAATATTATTATAGCCTTATTTTCTTCCTAATGATAATTTGCGTAACATTTCACATTTATCTATGTGCTAATAATTGTACCAGATGTGAGATGTATATAGCTTAATCCTGGTGAGGGATAAAGTATTGCTTTATTGTGGGAATTCTTGCTTAGAGGTGTTATGAATCACCAAAGTCACGCAGGCTCTAAGTGGCAAAATCATGATCAGAACAGGGGTTTGTTGGATTGCAAAGCCTATACTACTAGTCATTATGCTAATTGGTCTCTTAAGCAGCTTAGAACACTTTGTAAATAATTAGTCACTTATCTCGTTACATTCTGAATTTTCTACCTTCACTTCCACCTCCAAAACAGACCCCATATTTGAAAGATTTTTGTTCCTACCAAATTGCTCGTATACTACTTTCTTACTTTCATCTTCCAGCTAACCATGTTGGATATAATTGCTCAACTTTGAACACTGTTTCTGACCCTTTTAAGGCATGTGCAATGTCTGGAGTAAGGAGAGGACAAGGAGAAGAGAAAAACTCAAGAAGTAGAAACGGGGCCAGGCGTGGGGGCTCACACCTGTAATTCCAGCACTTTGGAAGGCCAAGGCAGATGGATCACATGAGGCCAGGAGTTAGAGAACATCCCGGCCAACATGGCAAAAACCCATCTCTATTAAAAATACAAAAATTATCTGGGCATGGTGGCACATGCCTGTAAGCCCAGCTGCTCGGGTGGCTGAGGCATGAGAATCACTTGAATCCAGGAAGCAGAGGTTGCAGTGAGCCAAGATAGCGCCACTGCACTCCAGCCTGGGCAACAGAGCCAGACTGTGCCTCAACAAAAAGAAGCAGGAAGAGGCTTCATTAACATAGGTTTTATTTGTTGATTTAAGGAAATTCTTCAATGTAATATAAAAACCAATAGAAAGCCTTCAGTAGTGCATTAATCTGTTTGGAAATTAGTTGGGAGGCTGTAGTCTAAGCAAAAGATGGTGGTAGCTTGGATCTGAATGCTAGCAATGATAATGGTGAAAAGTGAACAGTTACTTGAACTATTTAGAAGGAAAATTTGTCAGAACTTAATAATTTAGTGGCTGCAGGGTATGCTGAGAGAGAAATGTCAAGGATGACTACTGGGCTTCTGTGTTGTGAAAGCCACAGCTGGTGGTAGTTTTCACTGAGATCAGAAACCCTGGAACAATCCCAGATCGGGAGCAATTTGTAGCACAGAAAATTGTTTGTTCAGTTTTTGGATGTTGAGTTTTGAACCATGCAAGTGATGGGATGAAGTTGGATATTTGAGTCTAAATCTCAGAAAAGTTATTTGGGATAGAGGTATTGATTTAGAAGTATATAGATGATAACAGAAGCCATGAATTTAGCTGAGGTTGTCTAGGACTGAAACTTAAATATTATCAACTATTTAAGGCAAGGGAAAAGAAAAGCTCTGGAGTAGGAGAAGGAGCAGCCAGAAGATAGGAGGAAAGCCAGGAGTTGACTGTCATGGAAGAGAAAGAAGAAAAATTTAAAAAGGGAGGGATGGTCAATGGTGTCAAATTATGCTGAGAGGTCAAGAATACATTAGGAATGAAACATCTTCCTTCCATATTTCACTCTCAAATATTTTAAACATATGTACCAAAAAGAAACCAGAAACTACATATTGCATAATCCTGTTTCTTTAAAGTTTAAAACCAGGCAAAATGAATCTGTATCTGTAGAAGTCAGGAAGTAATTACCCTTCAGAAGGATAGTAAGTAAAATTGGACATGAAATGGCTTCTGGATTTCCAGTAATATTCTGATTCTTGACTTGGGTGGGTTACAAAGGTGTGTTCACTCTGTAACACTTTGTTACACAGGTGTGTTCCACTTTTTAACACAAGTATGTTCCCTCCAGCCCTGACTTAGCCAGGCCCTTCCCTGCTGGGCTCAGTCTTTCCATAGGCAAATCTGCATGACTAACCACCTCCTCCCTGCCCCCTGTGCATCAGGGCCTAGAGCATATGATTATCAAGCTATACAATTATGATATATCTACTTTTCTGTATGCGTGTTATATTGCAATAAGGAATATTCCTTAACAGAAAACAGGCCTGAAATCGGGAAAAAAAATGTCTGTATATTTTAGCAAGAATGAGTATTCAGTCTGCCTAAGATTCACTGAAAAGATACAGAGGGGAATAACTGAGAATTCAATCTGCTCAAACTTTGGGAACAAGAGAGGGAAGTGCAATTGTGGGGAACATTTATACAGCCTCTAAAATAGAATCTCATTTAATAATACAAGATTTGATTCTGTTAATTTTGCATTTTTTTAGTCACTAAGTTTTGTTCAGTGATTTGAATTTTCAGAAAGAACGTGAGATAAATATATATTAAATTTCCTTAAACTGTCTTTGATACACCTCAAATTTTGTATCCCTTTTTCTAACCTCAATAAATACTAGGGGCAAGGAAAAAATGACAATGAAAGTAAAAGGTAGCAGATGGAGTAACAAAACATGGAATGCCAATATTATTTCTTCCTTCTGGCCTGAAATGGTTGGATTAAAATTATTTATTTCAGTAGGGAAAATGAAGATAGTAGAGACATAAAACACAGATTCTTTTTCTACATCAGTGTGCTTAGTTAACATTTCCCAAGCTTCTCATAGCCCAGGGTTCTCAATCTAAGCTCCAACAATAAAACCTAATCATTAATAATACTTTGCTTTTTCTGATCTTGGCCCTGAAGGATGGAATAAAAGAAGGAAGATGATAGTCACTCCTAGTGTCTCCTTTTTTCCTTACCCCCTTCCAGCTCAGCAATTCTAGTGTCATATATGTTCTCAGGACTGTCTCAATTTTGTTCACCACTTGAGGAAACTTTTTTCCTTGAGACAACTTTTGCTCACTTCTTAATCTTGCTCTAGTGACTTAAAAAACTACAAAACGCATAGTCAATGTCTGAATTTTCCTCTTACTAATTTATGTGCAATTTTCCCTTCCACCAACAGTTGTATGTGTTTCCAAGGCAAAATATGCTTTAGGTTTTAAGCACTGTTACAAGACATTGCTTATGATAGGACTATGAGATGTTCAGTTAATACTATGCAGTTATTGAAGTGAACACTAGATGTCAGATTTTAGTTCTAGATTATTTCCCAATAGAGGGAGCACTTGAATTGTTTCTAAACATTTCAGTAGAATTTTTGCCTCATTTTGAACTATTTCCTTTCAGCAGATTCCTATAAGCTTAACTACCACATCAAATGATATTAACATCTTTAAATCTCAACATATAATGTGTAACATTTGTTTCAGGTGATTGTGCCAACCTATCCCATTTGACCTCATTTTCCCAGAGCTGA